AGGCACCTGGCTGGAAACAAGCAAGTGCTCCCGCTGGCCTTCCGTCCGAGCCACCCCGACAGGAGTTACGGGGGGTGACGGAGCCACAGCCAGCCGTAGCGCGGGCAGCGACAGCCCCGAACTGCGTCCTCAGCAGGCACAGGTGGAACCCGCCAGATCATTTCACATGGTATCACTATGGAGCCGGCAGCATACTGGGTGTTAGAAAACCCGCTCTGCCGATGGGTATCGGTGAGGCGGCAGGAGAGCCGGCAGCCAGCCCAGCCCCAGGGCTCCCAACAGCTCATGTGGCACCACAACGTGAAACACACCACTGCCATCTCTCTTCACAAGCTACTCGCTGGAGAACAGCGCTTCCAGTTGTATTAGGGGCCACGGAAGCCTCTCCTCACACCCACAACAAACAGCCTTGCAACACAAGAAAAGTAATGCTCCTCTGTTGCCCGCTACAGGCACCTGAGCAACCTACCCTGTGCAGAAACCAGCAGTCCAAAATAAAGCGATGCTCGTGACAGTTCTGTAAAATGGATCACATAAAGCCTACCTGAAAAACAAAGAGCTCCTTTTCCCGGGAGTGGCTGAAAAGACCAGACACGGCCACTGTTCCTAATGCGGTCTCTGCCAGACTTGAATGGGAAATAGGAAAGACAGCTCCTGTTGGACATAAACCCCTTTACAGCATGACATAGAACTGACCCTTCACCTCACCAAAATGAGCACACTCCAGACCACATTCCCTCCCAAAGAAAGCAATTCTGGAAGAATGTGTCATTTTTTAATTTGGGGATTTTGATTTGGTTTCAACTCTTGAGTAGTAGAGTATCGTAAGCTTTTCAAATTGGTCTTAATTTCTTTGGCAGGCTTTAATCATCTTGAAATACAAGGAGGACCATGAGTCTTATTATATGTCTTAGCAAGATCTCTTAATAAAACAGATCAGTCATATATAAAATGTGGAAGAGATTATTGCTCCAAAAATGAGAAACTGGGCCACAAGGCCACCACATGAACAAAGCTGAGACTATAGTCTGTGTGGAAGTTCTCATTGCTGTGCTTTCTTTGAAGCTGTAAGCTCCATTTACTGGCTGATTGGAGCCATAATTTCTAAATCATTACACAAACAGGTTACTGAGGGGAAAAGGATGAGAAGAATATCTACAAAAGCAGTAATTTTCCAAAACCCACAAACACGCTACATTCACTCACTGGATATATGCATCAGCCACATGCATGCTAACTGCAATCCATTCTGTCAAGAGCGTGGTCCGTCCTTTGATTTCACCAGTGAATGCTGTTGAAAGCTGAGAGATACTCGTGCTCATGAAAGTACTAAAAAAAACCCCAAAAGCCAACCCATACACAAAAATGAAGTTGGGATGAACTATTAGATAATAATGCATCTTCAAAAGTAAACTGACTTTTTTCTTCCCCAGATGACTCTCTACTTCCCTGAAACATATATTTGTTATCCGAGAGTGGAAATTAAATACAAATTAAAAGATTTTGTGACCAGCTTGTGTTTGAGCCCCTCTGGCTTCTCGTTTTAAATGCTAAATTTTGTTCTAAGTGTGAAAAATGAATGAAGCTGAAATGGCTCAGTATTAACATAAGGATAGAGACAGTAACCCAAGGAGAGGAAAAGGAATCAGACATAGATTTTTAAATCTACAGTTGATTTACTCTAGAATTAAGGCAAATCACTTTCTGCTCCATTTCCATATTGGAAAGATCAAAGTCTTCTACAGGGCAATTAATTTTCAAAGCAAAATTTGAAGTACTGTCTAAAACCAACGGCTTTGCACGCATTACTCTAAGGAAGCTATTACTCCTTCTGTTCCCCCTGCTACAGTTACCTGTTTGTTGTGAAAGGACCTAAATGCTAGGCCCTGTACCTTCCTAAATTGCTTGGAATTGGAGAGGGTATTCTCTCTGTTCTTCAGTCTTAGGATATCATCCCAGTTGAGAGTCTGAAGTCTTCCTCACCATGTAAGGCTTTCCTGCCACAATTCCTACTTCTCCATTTGCAGTGGAGTTGGACTAGATGACCTCTAGGGGTCCCTCCCAACCCCAAACATTCTATGATTCTATGATTTAAAAGAAATTAACTATCTGAGTATTTGGTGAAAATCCACGTGTTGAACTGCATGTGCCTTTTTAGCACAGTTTTTGCTTTCTGGTTTCTAGAATAACAAAAAAGGCAGTCAGCTTGGGGCTATACTAAGAAAGATGGAAGGAAAAAAAATAGCACAGTAGAGTCACTAACCTTATCAGTACAGAACTTGTCTCCAATCTTTTTGAAAACCAGACCTCAGCCACATCCTATTGCAGGAGACACGGGCTAGAGCATATGACTGGTGACTAGTACTCACCCCCAGCCTTAAGGAACAACAGCCCCGAACTGACTCAGAGACAGAGAGCAAGATAGGACTGTACAGGATATTAGTTAGTCTCATGCTGCACGCCAGAGGGAAGGCTCTGTGGCTGTGACAGAAGATGGCAACCCAGCTGATAAGAAGAAATAGTAGAGACACATACACAAAGCAATTTTATGAGGGAGGCTATGAAGACACCAAGTTTACAGCTAGAGGCAAAACCAAATAGTAAACAAGTCTGCTTGGGTCTAGGGCTGCTGTGCTTTGGCACATGCAATTGCAATCCTTTTTTTCCAGTTTGATTACTTTGAGTTTCCTGCCCATGTGATTTTTTTTTTTCCCCCCATGGGCTGTATTTATTTCACTGAAGACAGCTTTTTCCTGGCAGAATACTGTATTGTGAAGTCTTTGGTGGCTTCTAAAATTTAAACACTGTGGATTACAGACTGTCACCAACACCTCCAGCAGTCAGATGGGATGTGAGAGCACAGTGATACTACAAGCATTTACAATTGGGTTTCTCCCTGCCTCCTTTTGCCATATCAAGGCACTGACCACCTCTTCAAGTACAAACCATTATGTTGTGGATTGGAAGTGCTTATTCCTGATCTAAAGATTGAAGGTTGCTGAAGCCAGAATCCAGATTAATTACCAAAAAAAGAATATGTACTTCTACTCCATTAACAGTTATTCATAGACAGAATTAGGTATCCAGCTGAAAAACAGCCTCACTGGAAGAAGAGGTTTTGCAGAAAACTGAGTGGCTCATTTGTTTGATTTTTGACACAAATAACCACAGCAAGAATTGTTTCACCAAACATCTCAACTCAGTACCTTAAACTCATATTTCTGACTGCTTCGATGGTGACAGTTTTTTCCCTAACGTCTAATCAGAATTTTCTATACACCAACTTTACTCTGTTGCCTCTTTCCTATCCCTGTGCCATCTGAGAAGGGTCTGGTCTTCCATATACCCTCCCATTAGATAGTTCAAGACAGCAGAAAGGTCTCTCTTAGCTTTCTCTTCTTAAAGCTAAGCAAACTAAGTTCTCTCTTCTCCCACCCCTCGTGGTCCAGCCCTTGATCTTGGTGGCATCTGCTGGACTCACTCCAGCGTGTCAATGTCTGTCTTCTACTGGGGTGTCCAAAACAGGACACAAAACTCCAGATGTGGTCATACAATTACTGAACATAAGGGAACACTTGCTTCCTCAACCTGCTGGCTTCGTTTTACTAATGCAGCCCCAGATGCAGTTGGCCTTCTTTGCCACAAGGGCACACTTCTGGCTCCTGGTCAACCTGCTGTTGAACAGAATGCCCATCCCCTTTTCTGCAAAATGTTTTTTTCAGCCAGTACTACTGCATGGGGTTATTCCAACCCCAGTGGAATACCCAGTCACACTTGCCCTTGTTAAGCTTAATGAGACTGAGTTCAGCTCATTTCTCTTGCCTGTCAGGGAACCTCTGAATAGCAGCTGTGCCCTCCAGCATATCATAACCTACCTGGTAATCTACACTGCTCTTGATGGAAGCAGCTATTCTGAAAAATCAGGCTCCTTACCTTTGTAGAAGCAGTAGATTTTACAAAATGTATTGCTTGCTTCCCTTTGCTCTAAACATGCTACATGCTCACATTAGCAGCTTTCTGAATGTCTTATGAATACAGAAGCATTGCCTCTCTTTTCTTCTATGGGTTTGAGCTCCTTCTGGCATCACCCAGGATGCATCAGGCCCCCATCCGGCTGGTTTGGTGAGTGCCAGAGGGTAACATCAAGTACCACCTAGGCCACAGAAGAGAACTTAGATGCATTTGAACAAAAAACACGTAGGGACTGTGCAGAAGGACACAGACTGATACTGAACTGAGACAACATGAAATGTTACAATTCAGTTCAATAAATGCTGGTGAGGTTCAGATCAGGAACATTTAACTATTTTATATTAATAAGAAATCCTAGGACAAAGCATCATAATGGAAATCCTTTCCAAAACTTTGTTACATTACCGATCAACATTTTCATCTGACACTGGATGGAAGCAACTTTTCTTGAAATAACAGTTTCTCATCACATGAGAATTCTTTGTTTGTTTTTTTAAAACCAGTGCTAGACTAGTAAGAATAGTGTAACTCACTGTCAAGAAACATTTACCATGATTTCTTATGAGAGCTAAAAAGGGAACAAAAGTTTTGTCACAGAATAACTCAAACAGATAAATCTTACAGCACATTTCAAAGGCTGACAACAAAGCAATTTTATGTAGACTCTCTTTATACAGTAAATAGTTACATATAAGCATGACAAAAATATGAGTTTCATTATTTAATATTTAATATCCAATCTAAACACAAGTATTCAAAAGGAAATATTTTTACACCATTTCAGTAGTCACTTAGCTTAGTAGTTGGTTGCAATAATCCTTACTGTTTTCAGGAACTGGATGGAGCTATAAGCACAAAAACTCCTGTTAAAGTTAATGCATGACAAAGTTCCACTGCAACCCTCTGAAAAGCAAAAAGTTACATTAAAAGAAATTCAGACACTGAAGTACTTTAAAATGTATTGTGTCCTACAGTCAAGTTGGAGAACTCTACTGGTCAGAAACATGATGGTAACTTCAGAAGGCACTCCAAGTTAAACTACAGTAACTCCGGTCCATGAGTATTTTGGAATCTTGGTATTGTATAGTAGAAAAAAACCTTATATGTATTCAATATAAATTGCTTTAATGTCTGTCCTAGCCCCAGAGCAGTGAAATTATATTGCACTTTTAAAATATTCTGTGTAGGCTGTTATAAAAAAATCTAATATTTACATGTTGGGTTTATTAAAGAATAATGCATTACTTTGTAAAATATTTTAAGAACCAGGTTTTAACACATTCTTGCATTATTAATATAACCAGAGGCTACACCAAATATGTTTGTTTGGGGGGGGGGGTTTATTAGCTCCTATTCTAGAAGCATTTTTGGTCCTTCAAAAATTTGTTATGCTGCAATTCATGTTCACAACTGGTATCAATGTTTGCCTGAAATTGCAGTAGTTAGAATATTTAAATAAATAAATACATCATTTCTAAAGAAGTAATAGCTTTGGAACTTTTTAAACAAACTGCTGTGGAAAGTCTGTAAAAAGACACAATTTGGCATGTTATGACTTTAATTGGCAATACTTCAGAGTTGTACAACCTCTGCCAGGGTAGAAAACAGTTTGGTAGGCATATCTTATAAATCAGTCTGGAAAAAAGACCCAAAAAATACTGATTGTTCCTTAGGTTGTACGAATAAATAAAAATGATCATTTTTGTGATCCATAGGGGGGAAAAAAGAGAAAAGCAACTCTATTCTTTTTTAAATACAACCTGAAGGAAATTAACAAGCCATAAATGAATATATGATAACCAAGATGTACAATACACAAAGTTTGGCAGGATAAAATGCGCATTATAAATTTATAGAAATACTGATCTAGACAGAGCTGGTATTTTTAGCTGCATCTCACCAGAAGGCAATCATCGTTCATTTTTCGATCCAAATTTGAAGAAACATTCCAAATCTGTGTTTGGTAAAACAAATTCAGTGCAAAGCACTAGCTCTGATGAAATTTTGCTGACATCTAGGTTGCCCTACATTCCTGTTAAAACATGAGTTGTAACATAAATGAAACATAACAACAGATGCACAGTTATGCCATTTACATATAAATATATGTATATGCATGTCCTAGAAATTAAAATTATATCAGGAGGTCCCATAGGCTGTGTTGGATATATTTTATATAGTACAGTTGTAGTTTACATGTTCAATTTCATGACATACCGGAAGTGCTCTATATATGCACCCCTTGTGCTTCTCTGTAGTTTTTTTATTCTGTATAGAATAGCTTGCTTTCGGTTTTCATCACTGAAAAAGTATGATTTGAGAGAGCAACGAAAAGCTACTTGCAGGTTTTTGTGGAAAACACAGGATTTGCTCTTTAAAATTGTTATTGATCGATGAAATGATTAAATGTTGCTGTTCAAAACCAAGAACCATGTTGGTAAACTTGCTGTTAAGAGAGACTAAGAGCTGTCGCAATATCTAATCTAAATGCCTAGTCTGTGTAGTTAATGGAGCCTTCAAAGGGCAACTGAAAATCCTTCAATTCAGAAGCCTACCCTTTCTCATTGCCCATACAGAGAGATGTTTCTAAATTTGGTAATGAAAATACCTCTCCTTTCCTTCCCCCCAAAGCAGAGAATTAGAGTAACATACAGTGCTACTCCAGATTAAACCTCTGTCCTACCACTAATAAACTGTGTACCTTGCAAGCAAAGGTTAATGTTGTTTGAGAGGAAAAAGCCAAAAATTAGATCAAGAATGAATATAGCTCATTAAATAACTACACAATGTGATTTGTCCATAAGTTAAACAGTTAAGCTGCAACTGTACTATATTTTAGCATACACATTAAACTTCATTGTAACTGAGTTAACAGGCACATTTGCCTTTTTCTTGCTCTTCATTCAGTTGTTCTGTAGAGCTGTGCCCATTGGAGCGCACCACTCCTTCAGGGATCCAGGATTTATCCACACACCGTTCCATGCGCTTCATAATGAGGTCAAGAAGAGTTTCAATGGCTTTGCTGACATTATTCCCATTAGCTGCACTGGTTTCAAAATACGGTATTCTGCAGAAGACAAAACCCACAAGCTTACAACACACAGTTTATGTTCATAGAAGCAAAACCAATACATGACTACTGCCACATATTTAGAAATCGCACAAATGCTATTACAGCTACTCCATAGCAGAAACACACTAAGTGGTCAGTGGTCTGAAATGCAAAAGAAATTAATGAAATGGCTGACTCCATAGGTAGGGCCAAAGGATAAGCTTTAATTTACACCATGGAGTCCACAATGTACAGAGGTCAGTATGAGTTCCCAAAGTTATGCTCCCAAGGTCTTTTTTTTTTTCAGTTCTGTTCCCCACAAGACATGCAATTACTTTATATGGCCTTGTGTGCATGAGTGTTCTCCTTACTGATTTCTGTCTACATCAGCTAGGGTGCCATTGCAAGAGAGGGAATGCTAGTGTGGACATTCCCCTGCAGGCAAGGCAGTAAAGACTCCTAATGTGGTGCTCTTACCACTACAAAAGGTGACTGTTTCTTCTGTTGACACCTCAACTATATACTCTCCTACATACAAAAAAAAAAAAAAAAAAAATCCCACTGCTCAGACCACCTATGTCTTTGTTAAAAAAGGTTTCTGGGCACCTTCATATTGAAAATACATCGCTAGTGTCATTACTGTTGTGGGTCAGGATGTTTCAATGGTGAGCCCTACAGACTTTTTGGCCTTCTGTGCTCAGTGCTCCCCACAGGGTGGTGCTGGAGTGGCTACATTAGTGTTACTCCCCAGTAATGACTGAAACAATCTCTTCATAATTTTAAGTATTTCTTACTTAACTTGCAAGATTCCATGAGTGGTCAAAAATATTATATTACTGTCTCAGTGTGTAGGTCTCCTGCAACTGTTTTCAAAATACATCACTTACAAGGCCTTTCCACAGAAAGAGGATATTCGCTACCTCACACTTTTGTTACCAGAAGACTGTTTGCTGCAGCAGGGTTTATCTTGCTTCCCCTCAGAAGCATTTGAGAAAGTAAGTGACTCCTAGCAGCTATCCTGTCTCACTTCTACAGGGCAGAGAACTCTGTAACTGCCTACAGATTGGACGTGATCTACCACTTTGACTTTTAGCTCCCTATTCCTAAATTAAGTTGGCATTTTCAGCCACAAAGAAAACATTTAATAAATTATTTCAAGAAGGTGAAGTCTCATGCAAAGAGATCTCTTTCAAATCTTTAAGAAACAGCTACATGCCATCTGCTGCTGTTTAACAGTTTTTGCTCCTTCACAAGCAGCTGGTTAAAGTACCAAATGCACTTGCTGTTTTCTGTGTGACATGGAATTCAACCAAGTATTTTCACAGGAGAAGGAGAAAGTAAGAAGGTAATATTGCACTAATCCTCTAATAGGCATTTTGCTTCTGATTTGCCTCCAATGACTCTTCAAGGCGAAGGAAAGGTAATTTGTGACTATGTGATAGGAAACACAACAGGACTAGACCTGCAGAACAAGGCAGTTAGCACCGAGGAGTTGGTGTTCACACTACGCATGTTTTGTGGGCTTTACTTGGGACCAGCTCTAATCTAGTCCTTCAGACTGAATGCAGATTACTGGTTGGAGCACATCAGCTAGTTTCATTTTCAACTGAGAAGAAATCCATTTCACATGCTAAAAAGCTGCTCCACTGTGTGAATCAAACTACAATAAATGGATCAGAAGATATTCTTCAAAAGTGCACTTCTGACCCACAATGAAATGCAAATGTAATCCAGAGATGAGACCCATGGAAGAGTTAAGGGAGTATAAGAGTACTGTGGATTAATTAGTATCTGATAGGAACAAAGATTTCACATGGTTCCTTTAGGGACGCATGACCTTTGTCTGTAAGGAAGGGGACAGGCAAGGCTGCCCTGTCTTTTCTGCTGGTCTGACTTAGTTTTCAGACTCCCTGGGAGGCTCAGAGTGCAGATGCCTGCAAGAAAATAGTGCTGACCTCTTTGAGGCTAAGTCACTAAGAATTCACCTAAGCTACAGTCCTAAAAAAATTGGTTGAGCAGTTGAGGGAAGATTGAATGGGGAGGGAGCAGAGAACAGAGGAACCACGGCCTGGACCAGAACTGCTCTTCTGTGGGAACCCAGCACTCTGCTGATTGTCCAAACACCAGTGAATGGGTTCCAAGGCTCTCAAAAGCAACTGAGGCCTCATGTTTCCATGGCCATGCCAGAGACAATGGCTACACTACAACAAATTTTTGTAGAATAACTCAGCTTGTAAATTAGGCTATCATTGCTTGGTATTATTTTTGTTTTCCCTAAAATCTGATGTGACACTCATCACCTCATCAAATGCTCTTTTGGATCTCACTTTGTAAGAGACCTGGGTTTTCTGTGCCCTGTAGAAAGCCTCAGCACAGGCAAGAGCAAAGAATTAGACCCCCATCATTCACCTGCCTCTCCAGCTAAATTCTATCTATTTTCCAGAATGTTTGTGAAAATACTTTGTTTACTGCCAAGGGAAGAAGATGATTAACCAATCTCCAGTGCAAGATTATTGCAATACTATGTCTGAATTTTTAGGCAATGCAGAGAACATTAGTCTCTGACAGAAAAAAAAGATATCATACTGGCCAGTTAAGCACTCTGAAATCCTCACAATAAACTTTCAGTATACAGAAAAGGCATTACAGAAAACATTTTATTCTGCTTTAAATACAGCAATAACTGGAAGGAAGTTACTTACCCATATTTTTCTGCAAGTTCCTTAGCCTCTTCTTCTTTCACCATTCTTTGGTCTTCCAGATCACTCTTGTTGCCACATAATACAATGTCAGGGTTTTCACAATATGCATGCATTTGTAGCTGACCTAACAGCAACAACATAAATAGGGGTCACAACTTACCGTCCACATAAAGCTCACTAAGAACACTACTACATTTTAGGGGACACAAAATCCTTCAGGAAAACTACTCTTTGAAAGACAGAAAAGGGGTATGTTTTGTATTATCTCATGGGACTTCTGCTATTGCACTGAGAGCCAGAGAACAGGTGGACATTCACTACCATGCACCCAGTGAAAAAGCTAGGGAACAAGCCAGGGGAGCAGAAGCCTGACAAAGCACTGTGTATTTACAGCTTAAGGAGTGATGCTCACCAAGCATCTTCAGTGAGCTGCCAGGAAAGGATATACTTCCCTCTCCTGATGGTTGATGCAGTTTGGGAACTCCTCCACCTAGATACACCAAACTAGTAGCGTCTGCCTTCCATTAAGTTTTGCCGAGAAAGCTTCAGGTGAGTCAAAAGAGAGTTTTGCAAAGGCTTTCCACCCACTTAAATTACTGAATATCACCAGAGTTGGGGATATGATGTTCTCTCAGCTTGCTTTCACATAGTTCAGTAGGCAAAGCTGAATTTCAGGTAAGCCTTAAAAGCCCCACTAGCAGCTATTACAGTTATGAACACATTTACTTTCTTTTACTGAGAAGGCTATAAAACTCAGTATTTTCAGTTCTATTTCTCAGTGAGACTCCGTATTTACAAACATATCCCTCTCGCCACCCTTGCAAAGAAAGAAAAAAGAAAGAATGAAGAAATGCCATACTTATCCAATTCCTGACATTCAGAAAGCTCTGCTCATTTGTCAGATCAAAGAGTAGAAGAAACCCCATGGCATCTCTGAAGAAAGCCGTTGTCAAGCTACGAAACCTAGACCAGCAAAGTGAAATTAGTTGGATCATCCAACAAGTTACTTTGAAAACATAATTGCGTGCATTCATAACACTGAGGTAACTTAAGACTGAATTAAGTGGAATGAAATATTCATCATAATTGTTTTGCTGATGTAGGGACTGGATAACAAGAATTGCTAACATTACTGTGGCCTAATCAAGGCCTAAGCAATTCAAGGAGACATTTCACTCGAGCGCAAGAGCTTTAGACAGTGTCTTCTACTATAAAGCATGACTTGATCAAGATTCAGAAATTAAAATAAGAATGAAATTCAAACTTTGAACAGAAATTTGTCCCCTGTACACATGAGTTCTTGATTTTAAGACTACCAACCACTAGGATGCTAGTCTTTTGATAGACAAATAGAAAAGAATCCTTTGATGTGATTTCACCTGTCTGGCTTTCCCAAGACCTCAACATATTTACAGAAATTTAAGGAAAACTGAAAAAAAGAACTCTAAAAACATCTATACGCATTGACCATGAAAAAAATAAACTGAAAGTTTCCAAAAGACAAAAAACAATTATGGTTTTAATTTTCTACAGTTGTAAATTACAGTTGTAATTTAATGGGTATTCATAGGAAATTTTCCATCACTGTTAAAATTAAAGTAAGCACACTTTCCCATCTTGAGTTATACAATGAAAATGTAATGATCAATAAAGAGAATTCAGGTACTCGGTTCCATTTGCATCTAGCTTGATGACAACTGCCTTACTTGCTAGGTGAGGGGATGGAACATACCTTTCCTGTCCTGCAGTATCCCAGAGCTGAAGATGTATCCTCTGTCCTCTGCCACCAACACCATCTGGCCCGTTGGGTCTATACACCTGTAAAAGGTAAATTTGCAAGACTGAGTGTTAGCAGTCCAGCCTCTACAGATGTCAGTTATTTTGTGTTCTAAAGTCATTAACTGCAACAAAACTAGCATTATTGATGCAAAGATCCCAATGACAACTCAATCCCTCTGCTTTGTAAGACAGAAGTAATGCATTTTAATTTTGCATCCAATTGAATATTTAAAAATAAGGGTAAAAGTGAAACTGGAAAACTAGTATCCAATAGACTAGGGACTCTGAAAGATATTTAACGTGGTCATTAAATTTTATTAGGCAAGTTTAATTTTAGTATTTTTACTTTCCAATTTTTGTTATTATCATGTATTGTGTTCAAATTGAAATGTAATTATAAGAAAGCAACAATTGGATCATGCAATCTGGCAATAAATTTGTACCACTAAGAGAACCTCATTAGCTATCAGAATATACTCATAAAGACATCTCTTCTTAGCTGCCAAAAGATTGCTGAAGAAGAGCTGAGGGTAGATCTTATATCACAGCTTAAAAAGCACAAATTGGATAATAATAATGAAAGCTGGAGTTTACTCAGCATGAAAATATAAATAAGGACATCTGTTACCTTTGGAAGGATCAGATAAAAATAGATTCATTTCTTGTTTAAAACCCTTCATGTTAGGTCTCCTTCTTTACCTTCAACTGTCATTGTAGCTAAGATTACCAAAGTTACAAGCATTATCTTTAGAGACACATAAACTTGCTGAATTTGTGGATTCAGGTTGTGAAACCTAAATCTTCGCCTGAGTTACCAAACGTGCTGATCAAGTAAACCCACCATGTTTATTACCCCACAGAAGGAATGCTAACTTATTCAAGAGACCAGCTTTGCATTTCACCAAGATATTTACTCCTTCCACTACTGTGGTGTGTGTCATCTGTCAAAAGCCAGACTGTACAATGCCCGTTACACCATCCAGATTTCTGGACACTTGGGAAATCATCAGACTACACTGAAAGGCATTTAATACTTTTACATAAGAATGAAAAAAACTTATGTCAACTAGCATCCAATTGGTTATCATAACGCAGTGCTCAGCTTCGTGTCAAAAGTATGTTTGCCTAGTTTAATAACAATTCAGGGGTTATAAAAAAACCCGCCACCTTATTTTTCACAGTTTTCTGGTAGTGGCAATTGCTTAGGAAGCCAGATCAGCTCCATGTATTGTGCTATCCCATTTAAGTCACTTTTTAAAACTTTTTTTTTAAAAAAAAAAAAATAAAAAAAAAAATCAACATTTCAGTCTTTGTTCACTAGCCATTTTAGTTCACAAACAGCAAAAACATTTTTACTACAGCCCAATCCTTCCTTGTGAAAGGAGTTCAACAATAAAAGTGCTACTCCAGGTACTATGTGCATAACTCACAGAGTAGATACACTCAACAACACTTGCTGAGCGATAAAGAGTTGTTGCTTAGAATCAGCTCTTCTTTAACTTTGGGGGAAAGGGGGGGACAACACATAACAACAACAAAAATAACCAGGTAAAATGCGATCGTTTCCTTCGTCACAAGAGTAAGTACACAGTAACTATTGATTGCATGCCTACACGTAAGGATTGGCAGGTTAGATTTATAAAAACCAGTTTCTAGCCACCACCAAGACAGATACCATTTTAAAGTAGCACACGGTTTGTGAAAACTTACCACTCTCTTTTCCCGAAAGTCAATGCCCACTGTTGTGATAAATTTGGAATTAAATTTGCCATCCGTATATTGGTAAAGAAGGCTGGTCTTTCCTACTCCAGAATCACCGAGTGCTAGAAATTTTATGAGGTAATCATAGTCCCCATCAGACATAGTGAGAATTTAGGAGACACCTGAAAAAGCAAAGCAAAAAGGATTAGTTAGTAAACAAATAACTAATTGTTAGTTGCCAAGGCTTCTTTTAACAAATGTTTAAAATACAAATCATTGTTTGAACTACAAAGCATCCAGCAGTGGGACCAGTTCTGTAGTCTTTTACACTGGTTTAACCTTAAACACTCAATTATGCCAATTGTCAATATCAAATTCAGCTGTGACTGAAAAAAATGCATAGTTAATTTTATCACATTCCTCTTATTACAAAGAGAAGGCAACACAATTTTAACTTCATGAGGGAAGACTGAAAACTTAAGGTCAAAGCATTCAAGATATCTGGAATATGAACTGCAGAACTGCTTTTAATCTGCATGGAAGCTGGCAAAAGCTACTTAAACGTACCAGCAGTGCAATTCTGACCTCACATTCGCTGTGACATTATTAACATATGCAAAATTTTTTTCTTCCAGATTGTCCACTGTATTTAAATAAAAATTCTAGTAATTTTCTATTAATAGCTATTGTTCAGTCTTGAAAAAGTTTTTTCATACCAGGAAGAAAAATAACCAACCAACATCTTTTTGTTGTTGTTTTTGTTTTGGGGGGTCTGTGGTTGTTTCATTTAGAGGACCAATTTTCAAAGTTTTTGAAGTTTTTATCACTATGATAGTTAATCATTTAAACTAAATCTTGATTCTGAATTGCCATTAAACACCACACACATTTCTCCATGGCCCATATGCATTTAAGAAATTTCTATCCTTTATGTGCCTTTGAAAAAATAACCATATCAGATAGATATAGTCTGATCAAAGTGCAGCAATAGCTAGAATGTATAACAAAAATCACTAACAATTTTCATAAACACTAGAAAGAATGATGTAAGTGCACTGTACTTTGCTGTTGAGTAGATACTGAGCCTCTCTTCCCCCAAAACAAACAGTAGAGAGCTGCCTTATGTTGTTTTCAAAGAAATGAACATGAAAAGATAAGCCTAAAATAACCATTCTAAAAGCAACACAAAACTGGCATTAAACAGCCTCTTATGGCGTGGAAATAAATACCAAAATACAAAAAAAAAAAAAAAAAAAAAAAAAAAAAGATAGATGATGAAATAGAATACAAAAATACAAAAAAAAAGTCTGCTGGTTCAATTGTAAATAAGTATCTTCAGAACTATTTGTAGCTTGAACTAGATAAAATTATTCATTTGAAATCAAACACTGCAGTAGTTTGCATCAATGGCAAAACACCAATTCATTTCTCCAATTGCAAATCACAGCTTGAGGCTTGGAACAAACTCTGTATCTCAAGTATGTGGGTATCAATCACCACCATTAAGCTAAAATTATTTTTAAAGCTTCAACTTTATGTTAGTACCACTCTTGGTTACAAGACAGAACTATGATTAGTTGACTTAGCTATGACTGGACTTACCACAATGAAACACAGACAACAGTCAGATTTACAGCCAGATACTCTCCAACTGAAGAGTCAGTGGAAAGCATCTGACACTTTTTTGCCATTTCCAGTTCGGAAGTCTCCCTTTCCCCAGCCAAAGCATATTTTACATTATGCCCTCAGTGACAGTAAAACCTTGCAGGAAAAGGGGGTTTAGGTGACAAAGTTCATACTCACTACCACACGACAGCCAGCTAATTCACTTTCCACTGTTTTGTTTTAATACAAAGTTTTTCAATAAAGATTAAAACAAAAAACCCCGCTGTAATAGTTATCAGTGAGCTTTTTACATAAATACACCACAACTGCCAGCCTGCATCCACCACGCAGGTCTGAAGGAGCAGTATATTCAAGTGAGCAAGTGGAAGAGCCAGCCACACGCTGACAAAAGAACGTTTTTAGAAGAAATTAAAAGCCCTGATCCATTAGACACAGTCAAACATACCAGCAAAAGGGGTTTTGAGGTTTTTGTTTCATTTTTTAAATCTTCCCACCTGTTGGGGAAGGAAAAAAAAAGTAAAATCAGATTGCCTACCTTGTAGCTCTACAAAGGGTCTTTTCATTGAAATGCACTAGAAGAAAGGGAAAAATATTTTAAAAAGGAAACAAGGAGGTTTTTACTAAAGACTGGATTTGATTTAGACTTCCATCTCTTAAATGGTGTTTCTTTTGCCCTCAGATGTTGTCGAAGGGCAAAGGGCTGTTTAAGCTCCCCCTCTACTCAAGCACATGTTCTTTCAGCTTCAATACCCCTAAATTAATTGTTGCTTAAGAAGGCTTAAATGCAAATCTTAGGGCCAGGTTATTATACAAAGACAGGCTAGCTTCATGTCTTTTACTATGCTATCCCACTTGTACTTTTTGCCTTGTATTTGCCTTCTCTGGTTGGTGTTTTGTCAGCTAGCTATAGGTGTATAGAACATACTGTTAATAAAATACAAATGGTAGTGCCACGTAATCGCTGCTGATTTATGTTGCAAAAAAGCTAGTTTAACTCACGCCCCATGCAAGACCTTATGGAGGAAAAAAGGGTGCTACAGCTCTTACTTGTAAGAAACTGTTACGGTTCAGCTGCACCCTTCCACTGGACAGAGGTGGGTGAAAGCTCTGGTTAAAACAGAAAGGTCAAGGTTAGACCTTGGGGAAGTAAAACCTAAAAGTATTCCTAGTGTCACATCTGATTTGTAGAGTATCCGTTTGGACAAACACGCCACATCATTCAGACCACTTAAACCTCGACTTGTCATCTGGCTGGTGACAAATACAACTTGCAAATGACCAATAGAGGACTAGGAGCCCTTCACAGGAAGGGCATAAAAATGCCTTCTAAAGGGTTTGCTTGAGAAGGAAATTTTCTCCTTAGGCATTTGAAATGCACATACCTTTCACTGCACCCCATAATGTCCATCTATTATTCAAATTATCTCCAGGGAGTGGTTCTTGTGAAACCCTGCACAGTTAACCTATCCTTGGAGACATGCAAAGAGCTATTTTCATAGTAGTTTCAAGCCTTGTTCTCCTCCCTGTACAAATATTTAAAAAGTGATCTCCACCCTCTACTTCCGAGACCTGCAGTCCTAGGGCCCAGACACATCCAGCTCCACGCATCAGAAATAATATATTCACAGCAAAGTATATTCATAGCAAAAACTGTTGTGGAGTTTTTAAAAGGCATAGCCCTGTTACTATAATCCCATCCCATTTTTTCCTTCCAATTTTGCTTTTTTCTTAAATTAGGCTTTATAGCTTCATACCTTCCAGTCTTTCCTTCCACATTTCTATACCTTGCATATCAGGAGAATGGGAGGTAGGAAAGGAAGAATCAGAAAAAATTGATGATACAGTTAGAATTCATCAGGTCACCAAAATAAAAAATAAAATTAGTTCATTTTAGAACAATCATTCCCAAATCTTGTTTCTATGAGTAAGAACTCCTTAGCTGAAAAAAATTCACTGATAGACACAATTTTAGGCTCCATATCAAGCCCTCTAAGGTTTTTGCCTTTTGTAAACCCCTCCTTCAATCCCATTCAGCTCTGGCTTTGCACTTCGCCTAGCATGCAGACAGACAGGGGCTATGAACAAGAGCTGGGAAAACTCCACTGGCCTTTTCCACTGCTGACAGGACCCCAGTAGCCACCGCTTAAGCTGTGCCTGTACAGTTGCCACCCTGAAGCCTCCACGTACACACACATGTAGATCGTGGCTTGCCAAGAAGGGCTCTTGGCCTTTGCTCTGCAAAACAAGTGCTGCTTTTGTGTAGTGGATTTTCTAGTCCAAGGCACTTTCACATTAACAGGCATCAACATTAATGGGCTTGTATTTTTGCCTCCAGGACACAAATATCACAACCCTATCGTGTGATAAAACATTCAAGACTATGGCAGTGTTGTTCCTGAATAAATTAATGAAATCGGCTTGGCATGCAGGATTTCCCCTGTGTAGTATGGGGACAGGGAATATGCTTTCTGAAAAAACTGGCCTTGCACAAAACATGCAACTCCTGTGCTGCTACAGAGCCAATGGAGGGGAGAAGGAAGCAGGAAGAAGACGCAAAGAGATGAATAAATAAAAACACAGGCCAAAAAAAAAAAAAGCATTAAGCTGCAAATAAAAATGTATACACACACATACAGAGCGTAAAATTCAGGAAATCTGAACATGCTCTTAATCAGACAGTCCTCAAGCACATCAATTTGAAGTAAAGTATACCACTTACCCCAAGCTCTGCTAAAGGAATAGTTAGGGCGCACTGGAGATAGTACTTCCAGTAGGAGTAGTTTTCTAGCACCACCTCTTCAGCACACAGCCAAGAGGCTTACGTGTCACCTGTTTGCATTCATGTTGATGGGTGCTCAGAGATAAAGAGGTGTGCCTCAGTTCTCCATGTCTAAGGAGGGTGCTGCCTGCCAGCACGGCTGGGAAGCAATTACACAGTTCGCATGTCCCATTTATTCCTAGAGGCAAACAGCGTTTCAGAAGATTTGTGCATGACCTACCTAGGAGCAGATGTAAAGTACCTGCCAAATCACCCACACACCTTAATACAATTACATTGTTCCTAACAAGTGTTTTCATACAAAAATCTGTTATTGATGGAGTATATGGATCACAGCTGTTCAGTTCCATTCATAGCTTTACATCTTTCTCTCTCAGGTGCACAGAGGATACAGCAATCCTTAATGCAAACTGCTGTTTTATTACTTTCTTGTACAGACTCGAGGACACCATGCAGCCCCATGCATACCATGGTGAAAGCCATCTTTACCAAAGAAAAAAAAAACAGTCTTTGGCAAAGACTGGAACATAAGGTTTACGTCTGAGATGACTTCAGACCACACCTGCAACACCACCCCATTTTGCAGAGAAGCAATACATATTTAACAGAGGAAGCCTTCTGGGGGTGGAGGGGTCCTCCCCGTACTACACCACCTAGCCAGCCCTCCAAAGAGGGAAAAAGCCACTATTCTATATGAAACTACTCAAACAAAACCATTTTACTCTTCCCCCTCATACCAAGTGAAATGACTGTACAAAAACTCAGACATCACCCCAATATCCCAGATCTGCAGCGCAGCCAGTCATAAAGCCAGTGACTGACATGGTAGGATATACCACACAACTATAAAGAGACAAACTAATTCTAATTTGCCAAAACACAGATATTAGACCAATAATTAATTCATATTTTAAGATACCGCAGGATTTCATCACTTTATCCTTTTGGGGATGGACAGCAGATGCTCAAAAGTTACAGGTAACTTCTAACAGTGTCCACCTTCTGCCAAGTGTCACTCAGCTTTCAGGTAGCTCTTACAGGTGAAGACAGATGAGTTGTGTCTTGGCCTTGCCTTCTTTGCTCGGGAGAACCAGACCCCACTGGAACAGTAGGACATTCACCAGGCTGTGTCCTAGAGGTAGGAGCCAAACTGCAGTGAAGTCTGCATATTCCCCCTGCAACAGAGATCCAGCCCTCAATGGACAGAGGGAGCGCAGCAAAGGGTTACATCCCTTGGCACCTACCGCAGTGTGCAACAGGCAAAAAAGTCAGAGTCTGCTTAAGACTGTTCCACTGTATTCATATATAATCGAACCGTATTTGCAAACATACCATGAAAAAGTCAATGCTATTTAGACTTCAAAAATGCTTTGCAAATTAAGGTTTCCCCAAATATGGCTTTATTCTTAAAAAGCAGTAGAGGCTGCATGCTTATGATTGAAGAGTTGACATGGGCATTGGGGGAAGAGGAGTCCAAATCCCACACAGACTCAAAAGGAAAATACTGCAGGTCTCTCGATGGACAACATGTAAATATAAGTACATGGTAATCATGCATTTGTACAGGTTTCATCATTCTGCAAGTGCAAGTAAATTCATATTAAAAAAGCTTCTCACCTGGGCACTACACAGACTTACACAACTTCAATAGCTGTTTTATATGTCACACAATGAGAAAGTGATCTGGACCTTGAAGGAATCCATTCGCTAATCCTGTTGTTCCAGCCCTCCCATCGCACTACAGCAAAGCAATAACCACATTCTTGCCTAGCGTGGGTGATGCATAGCAAACGGCCTCACCCTGCTCTAAGGCTTCAGTAGCACCTTAATGCTTGCAAAACTGGTCACCATCAGACACTTGCCAGCTCTGCCGAAACAAGGGACAGAGAGCCAAACAATGTTCCTACTTAGTCAACGCTTTATTAGAAGTGCCTTTGGCTAAAAGCTGCCAGAAGTATACAAATGTAATATAAACAAATGATGACAATTTTTTTATAAACTCAAGTAACTGCTATGCTGCACAAAGAGAGTTAATAAATAAGCACTTCACTGAAATATTCTGAACTGCACTGGTTTTTTTCTTAGGAAAAAGTTTTAATTTTGGCCAAAATGCCACTTTTTGAGACTTCTGGGAATTTTCTGTAGCATACATAACAAGAAAAATACCCCTTCATCTCACAAATGAGAAGAAGAGATTCAGTTGCTCTGAACATTTATCTTTTGCTTACTCTCAATTGCTTTACTTGACATGTCAGTTACGACCTTTTTAGCTTCAACTATAGAAGAATTTCAAGGAATTACAGGATCAGTGTCTAAGGACTGTCTCTTTCTTAGAAGAATCTAAGTCATTTTAAGGGTGCTAAGGATACGTATAGAAGTCTGCAAAAATACATGCAAACAAATGGGCTGTGAGGCTTTAGCTTCTAAATGCTGATGTCACTTCTGGCTCAGCTGAAGATGCTCTAGGACACTTTGTCAGCTGTCAGCATTGCTAGAACTGCAGAATTTGGCAGAGCAAGAAGAACTGACAGGCACACAAAGCACTCTGAGAATGAGTTATGAGGGAGACACCAGGCATAAAATCACGATCCTACCCAGAAAAGGGACACCAAAGGGTAAGTGAAGCAACAGATCTGCAGATGTGGTGAGAACCTTGCACAACAGGCCGTGCAAGGAAACAGCAGATTCTGGATGTTGTTTCCAGACAGCCAGGGGAAACTGGGAATGGAGAAGCCAGGAAAGGAAACAACAGTTAGTTTTGCAACTACATCTGCATTTCAGCATAACCAAACCAACGAAAAGGAGACTGAATTTCAAAGAATGGTTCAGTTACGTAAAAGAATGAAAGGCAGCATGGAACTGGAAAAAAATGGAAAATAAAACCAGGAATGTTGCAGGTGATACTCCAACATCACCCCTACAGAAGAATCTCTCTGCAGTTTCAACTTCTCTGCAAAAAGCACAGCACCATCTCTTTTCCCTCATCAGTATCTAACATTTTCATGCTTCATGGTAAGAAAATACTGCACCTAAATAAAGACTTGCAATGGTATCTGATGAAAAGAGTTAACTCCCTGAGAGGACCTGTCCCCCCTCCTGGGAATGAGAGCTTTTGCCTCCCAAGTTACCTCTTCAAACTCTCATCAGAATTTACTTTCAAGTTGTAGCAGTAAAGCAAACATCTGTACCATGTTAATAAACTCCAGAGTAGACTGGGAAAAATAAGCAAAGAATATTTTTTTTTTTAAACCAGCTCCATACTACTTACTCCCTCCTCAACCATTCAACTGTTCCTCTAATAAATACATTAAGCCACGATGCCTTACAAGTTAACGTGCCATGCTTTTTCACTAACTTATAAACAGGAAATTCAGAGCAATGCCCAGCATCCTTCCTTGATGTGACAATTCTGACCGCTTCGGGGACCCAGCTCATAGTTTACCCACAGCCCAACCTTAACATTTGTAACACATCACTACACTGTACCTGCTTTGGACAGTACCAAGGAATTACAAATGACAGTCTTATACAGATTTACACAGTTTCCAGCTCTTTCAGTCAACACAGGAGCCACTGGAATTTCACCCACAAAGCTGGTCATATTCACAGAAGGAGGGAAATACCTAGAAGTTTGCCCACCCACACATTCAGCAACTCCAGAAGGGCAAAGACAAAGAGTATGCTTCTATTTCTGTCCTCAGAAATAGCCACTGAAAGATAAAGGAGAATATAACAAGAATTACACAGGATCATAAGAATTGAGTATTTCTTTAAGGGGTGGTTGGGTTTTCCTGGAGATAACAAAAATCTCCAGTAGACAGCTAGAATAAGCAGGCACGCGAAAAAGCAGAATAAAAGGCAAAAGAAAAGATAAAAATTCTAAAGACTGAAAAAGGAAGTAATTTCATATGTGCAGCTAGAATATGAATGAAGCAACATCTCAGGGAAAATATGTGCATATGCACACACTACAGAAAACATTACATTTTATGCTTTGCCTATGTGGACGATTCTGCAGGATGCAATACACATCAGTCAAGTCAGGTTCTTTGTTTAAGCCTGTTAAAGCACATACTGTTAACAGCCAGAGGAAAATATTTACAGCTTCTTTAGAAATATATACGTATTTTTCTCCTCCGAGGCAGAAAGTTCTCAGCTACCTTCCACCTTGTTTTGTAGGACACATACCTGGGATACAGATAGTGCTTCTCCAAAAGGTCACACCACCAAGCTCATGAAAGATACAAGATACATGCTGCATAAGAAGGAAATAATCTGGCAAAAATAAATTATCATGAGTAGGTCAATTAAAAGTCCATGGAGAAGGTCAAGCAACAGACAACCTTAAGATACTTCCTAGTCACTGTTAGATAAAAGTGAAATTCACAGAGATACAAATGGGACTATAAAATAAAACTGCATCATTCATCTAATATGATGTGGGCAAGCCTACACAGGGGTGAGGCAAGAAAGACTTTCAGTGCAGAACTTAATCCACCTTTTCATCCTTTGGACTGAGAAATATCTGCTTCTCTTGTTTTTCATAGGAGGTAAATTCTGTTCCTCACTAACTCTGGTTTTTGACTGGAAGATGCAATAAAAATTACTCTCTTTTGCAGCTGCTACCATTCTTTAGCATTATTGCTTTTCTATAATAATGTGATCTGTCCTTATTTTTGGTGGAAGTTACTTGATTTAGTTCAACAATAAATAACAGGGGGACATAGTATATAGCACCTCCTACACTTTGTTCAGCTATTTATTCCTTGGGAAGTTAAAAGTTTTCTCATTACTTAGATGACATTGAAATATCCAAAGATTTTTAAGTCGATCAGAATTGAGTTTATCTACACCTGAGAAATGCAGGTAACCAGCTAACCACAAAGCATCGTAGCCTTTTGGAGCAGGACTGATGTGTCAGATCACACTTCCAGCCACCACTGAAAACATTCCTCTTCCTCAGAAATCTTACTGGCTATCAAAGTTATTGACTGAACAACCAATTAATATCCATTTCTAATGAGCTGGAAAATCTCTACTATCTATGAATATCAGGCATGACATTAGGAATAGTAAGTTATTTGTGGAGGGTTACTTAAATGGATCTAGCAAAAAAGGGCACAATATTTGCTTCAATTCGTATCCTAGCATGGCTTCTCTTCTAGAGTCTCAAGGAAGGGATAATTCAAAAGAAGCACCTATTAAGTGGGCACAACACAAAGCTTCCATTCAAAAAGCCTACTGTTTTTCAACCTGAGTTGCCAACACTATTTATCTTGCTACTCTGATCAGAATTCCGTATTACGGCATGAATGATAGTTAAATCTTGATATACAGCAAAGACTGCTCAGATAAATGGCACAGCAAACTAGAATTTCTTACACTAATTCTTGTCATGGAAGTATGCATGAGCCCTGCAAGGAAACCAAAAAGAATCACAAGTCTAATGCCACAGTTTACCCATACTATTTATTTTAGCTATTCCCAGACTGAGGGAGGGTCCCCAGATGGCTGTAGAGTAACACCCCTAGCTGAAACCTGGCAGCTGTTGCCAGCTTTTCATTCTGTAGATGCCTTCCTGCAGAATTCTTTCTTAACATTTCATGCAGCTACACAGTGTCCTCAAGTTTCATTTTAGCTGATCTACAATAACAGGCAGTTTCCTGCCTCTCCCTCCAGAAGTCTTCAATTAAAATTATTATTCAGCCTGTTTCTGCTATAGCTAAGAAATGGCTTAGCAGCAGCAAGCCTTCAGAACAACCACCTCTATAACCCAAGTTCCAGAAAAAAATATACAAAGTTATTCTAAGAAAATAAATTGCCAGTCAGACTGCTCTAACTGATCCAAGCCGTGCAAGTTCCTTGTAGAAAACTGCATCAAGAAATCATGTATGTGTATATGAAAATCTCACACAAACTGAAAAACCAACTTCATATCACGATTTGCAATTTTTTTACATTCTACATCATGACTGAGAAAGGCATCAAACCACTGAAATGAAAAATGGGGTATAAAGGGTAGGCAGATATGAAAGAATCTATTCAGCTACACACTTGTGTGCACAAGTCACAAGAAACTGGGAGTATGCAATGGTACTGTCCAATAAGACTTTCTATTTGAAAAGACTAATTAAAGGAGGTGCTGCTGTTTCATCTTCTATTAAAAGACTTACTTTGGCTTGCAGTGTTTGGTTTGATTTTAAACCAGTACATATGATTTCATATTGAAGGAAATAAAAATCCAGTAATGAGATTCCAGGAAAAGCAAATTAAGTATGTGAAAGAAGAAAATCTCAGTTAGCACTAATCAGTACAGCTGCAGTGCCTATAGTGGAGCTATGCTAACATACATCAACCCACTCATTCCCAGACAATTCTCATCTCACCAAGATCCCCACTCTGCTTCCATTGATACCAACAGTTGCACCATAATGCACCAAAACTGAATTTTTATAAAGACACTTTATCCCTACGACACAGCGTTTAAACAAAATTCAGAAGCAGGAGCTGTATTATTTCCTAGTTATGAAGCCAAACATTTTTGACCAAAGAAAAGTTACTCTTAAATTTTTCTCCTTAAAAAGTTATTTCTATTTCCCTTTGACTAGAGCTTACTTCCCTCATTCCACTAGGATATGTTCCAGGTCTTTTTCCATTAACTGCTTTTAAGATTTTTTGAGTTCATTCTTTAAGTTTTATATAGTTTCAGAATTTCTATTGATTGTCTTTTTTTCATTTTTTGTAAATAGAAAACCCCATACAATTCCTCTGTGACGCCATTTTTAGTGACATGTTCAAAGAATTCCAGCTGAATTAGATTCGTAGTTTGTCTTTACTAAGCTTAATTACTAAGGGCATTTTGTTTAAGATAGTGTTGCAAATGACAGACATGCTGGAAAAGAACAAATGTACCAAAACCCACTGGGAGTATGGTGAGAAAAAGGGGGGCAGCACCACATGCTGGAATATTGGTTTGATCTACACAACAAAATCCCAACATTATCAAAATTTAATCCTCAAGTAACTTAGGCTATTAGAAATCACTACCCTAAAATGTGCTAGAAATTGTTTCTGTACTACACATCCAAAATGCACATGTAATGCAGTAATTGAAAAGCATTATACAACAGTAAATTACAATGAAGCAACTATGACAACCAATCCATCCAGCACAGCACAGAAAAAAAAAAAACCACTAAGTCAAGCATCAATGTTTACGAAAATCCTTCCAGTTATTTTATATAAGCTTTTTCATATACTGAGGATGTCTACAAGGAAACAGCAACAATGTTTTTTTATTTAACTACATTTATGAATTTGTCACTTCTTTCTCATAAACAAAGTCAAGGGGTGGTGATCAGGACTAGAAAAATCATCTTAAGATACTGTTTGCTAGACATCAATTAAAACCCTGGGAAAGCCTTGTGACCTTCCCACAAAAGCAGAAGAGAATACTGTTTCTCTGAACAACAACTTGGCTACTTACAGTCTACAAAACCTGGAGGTTTGGTCCATGATTAGAAAAACACTGGTAAACACATGGGCTAGAAAGGATGCCCGATTATAAATTCATGCTTGGGGTGGCAAGGAATGACCTGGTCAGATGGGCACACACTTTTTGAGTTTCTTCCAGAGAAGATACAAAACACAGTAATAACATCCCACCCACACATTGCTTTCACCGTAATTCATTTTAAGACTGAAACCATTACTATATGATTGAATACGGAATGTGAACTAGATGAGCTCTCATGGTTCCTTGCAATCCAATTTCTTTTGCTAATTAAAAATAACAGACTGTGCAACAGACCATTTTTATCCCTTTTCTCATCAATACATTTAATATACATGAGAACAAGCATGTTGGTGCGCAACCCAGTTAAAAAACCCCACCATTCTAAAGGACTGTTTTATTAAGTATAATTTATCTTTATACGTTAATGAGAATGCAGGAATAAATAGAGGGGGGAAAGCTCAAGCAGTACAACATTTAGAAATACTGAGTTGCTTTGTTCTGTACTATGAAACATTATTTGCTCAGTACACTTTACTATCAAAGCGCTAATTCCACCTTCTAACTGCAGAACAAGTTTGACAACACAGAAGGAAATGCAGGCTGATGACTTGGGACCAGAAAGGGCATCATATGGTTACTGGATCCAGACACTGGTCACTGCAGTCATATATTTTAACCTTATCGATAAACTTACCCAGGTTTGTCTTTAAATCTGACTGATTTCTTTGCAAAAAGCAATGACCAAAGACATACCAAAGAGCTGCAGTTTTGTAATTTAAACCCAAAGCTGATGTTTTACATAAGCCAGTATACTTCCCAGGTTTTAAGTTTACTTTTCCATCTAGAACATGAGGATGCAGCAATGCTGAACTGTCTCTCAAAACCAATATATTTCACGAAGTTTGAGGAAAGTACAGCAACACTGTTTCAAAGCTCTTAATGGAGGAATAGTTGGCACACAACTGCCAGCTCACGGAAAACAATGTAACAAATCTTACAAAAATAAATTTTAAAAGTGTTTACATACCTATGCTCAACAGCTGCAAAGGGATCTGTAGTTTTCCAAGGGTGCTTCAGCAACGAGTCTCCTGGCACAGTTCAGATCTCCTGAATACCATAATCATGCAGAAAGAGCAGTTTCTCATCTGCAGGTAGTATCAGCAGAGAAAGAAAATAAAACCAAAATAGCGTAGTTCAGAATAATGGCTCTAAAATTCTCACTAACATGCAAAGCTGCCAGCCCCACACAACCACCCTACCCTCCTAATTACATTCAGCTGCTTGTCATGTGGTCTTGCTGACCGATCAAGTGATCTTTTTTCCTCCTTTTAAAACTAAGCAATGTAGTTAACTAGATCTCCCTAAACCAGGTAACAAACACCGAGCCTTTGCTTAAACTATGGACCCTCCCCCTTCTTGTCACAGGGAGAGGAAGTTGCAGTATGTTTCATTACCAAAAAACAGAATAAAATACAGCAAACACAGTAGTCCACTATAATTAAACACAGCGAGCACCAAATGCTTGCAAAACCTAAAGGAGAGTTTCATTTTTGAGCCTGGTTTTACTTTATGCCTTTACAGACAGCAGAAAAAAAGCTACCAGTAACAAAAAAGACACCTGAGTGAGACACCATGCAAGAAGGAGTTGAAAGGATTTGGGTGGGCAGTGGCAGCAGTACCTGGGGCTTCGTAGGCACCC